GAGACTTGAGAGTGTCTGTGCCTGTCACAGAGACAGTCTCACATGAATGCTGGTGGATATTTATGGCTAAAAGTTTGTTCTTGTATTTGGGATTTAAGATTCCCCTCTTTCCACCTGCTTATGTACATTTAATGCCACATTAATAGTAATAAGGAATGATCATTTTTAAGAGCAAAGTGGACTTGTCATCCTGAATCCATGTGGGTTTTATGCCAGCTCAAAGAAGTGCAGAATTGCAAATAAATGCAGTGTTGACATGAACCATGATGCTTAGCTCTCATGCAGCATATAATCTCACATACTCTAATGTTAATTAAATTCCTCAGAAGCAGCTTTCTGATCTCTCTACAGGGAGCTTGTTTGCCTTGAAATGAACTACTGTGCTGAGATAGTCTCCACTATACCAGCATTACGTTCACTACATTAACTCAGTAAAGACTTGGCATAAGACTTGTGGCTGAACATCAGTAATCCCCTTTGCTTATCTGGAAACCCAGGGCTCCTGCTCTGTGGGGTCTGGTGCTGGTGACTCGAGGTGACACCAACCTCTCTGCTTGTTCCAGCAACCTGAAATGGTGCCACAGCCCTCAGAGGAGTCATGCAAAGCAATGAGCAGGGACGTGGCTTTGTTTGCAAAGCCATCCCCACCCTGACTGAGAATTGTTGCCCTCTATCCACGGGTTTTGCTGGTGGCCCTTTAGAAAGGGTCTGGGAGAGTGTTGTCTGTCTGGAGCAGCTTCCCCTCCCAGCCCCAAGTGTATTCTGACTTGCCACACGTTTCAGAGAGCAGCAGGAGCAAAGTGGCTGACACAGAGCTCTGCTGTGTTGGAAACTTCAGCCTTGGAGCAGCCAAACCCTCCAGATGAGCTGCACCCCTGGCTACTGGGTGAGGCTCTGGGAGAGAGATGATGTTACCAGTTCCAGAGGGAAAAAAGCTAATATTTCCTCATTTTGGGGGCAGCTTGGCTTCTTCCAGGCTGTTGTGGTTGCTCAGGTTTGGGGAAGAGGAAGGCAAGGTGAAGTGTTTCTGCCCAGGGGATCAAGGGGCTGGTTAGCTTGTGAGCGACCAAAGACTGTGCTGTGTTTAATTACACCTCCCATTAAAGGTGTTTCCCTGTGACTTCATCCCTCTTGAAAAGAAAGAGGAGGAACAGAAACTAATACCCAAGCTTTGCTTGGTCCTGGGGCATATTGAGAGTGTTTTTCTCTTGTAAATTAAATTATGGGACCATTTGCTTGGCTTTGGTGTGAACAAAGAATGAAATAGGAAAATCTCCTATTCAGGGTGAGAGTCCTGAACATCTTTGAATCCACTTAGCATTCTGTGTAGTGTCAGGATGTTAGCCCTGAGTGCTCTCAAATATTCCCAGAGGTTGCAAGCTCAAGCACTCGACTCAAGCAAAAGCTGAGACTTTTAAAGATGGATACAAAGAAAACCAAACCTTCCCTGGGGTATCCAACACACCCTACTGCCAGTTTGTGCATTTCTCTCATCCCAGCAGTGTGAGGTGTAAGGGCTAAGAATGGGAGGTGTCAGGGGAATTCATATTCCAGGGCAATATGGAATGTGGGGTTGTGAGGGGATAAATATTTGCAGTGTGCCTTAAAAGCTGGTGTGGCTCATCTGGCTGGGTGCATTTGCTCTGCACAAGTGTCTTGGTCTGTGCTGGGGCTGGGTTTGGGCCAGCTCTGCTCCTGGGCTGAAATCCCACAGGGAGAGGCCTCAAGGAGCCCCAGAGCTGGGAGGGAGTGGGATAACCATTGTGGGTGGGAGGTGGGAGGACACTGAGGGCGCTAAAAGTGAAACTTCACTGACACCCCCCCCCAGCTGACCTCCAGTGGTGTGTCCTTATGTCAAATCTAATGCTCACACAGCCCTGAGATTGCTTTCTTAGTGCAGCTACTGCTGCCACTCATTTTTTGCTGTTTTGGGGTGCTTGGAGGTGATATCACTGCTATACCAAAACATTCATTTTCTGGGGGGAGCTAAACTTAATGCATTCTGGAAATACTTTCCAGGGGCCTATATTGAGGCAATGGATCAAATCTTCCATGATCCTTGTTAACATTCAACCTGGAATGGAAGGTTTTTAATTGTCCTTGTTGTTAATTGCTGCCAGGCTGAGGTCTCAGTTCCTCTATTAAACCATATTCCCATCAGAATCAATGCCAGGTGTAAATAAAAGCAAACCATTTAATCCATTGCCATTTATTTTTAAAAAGCACTGTCAAACTTCAGGTCACTTTGATTTTCTCTTAAAAAGGATGACATTACACTCTTTGTCAGTACAGAATGGTGTTTCACAGAGCAGGTAACACAGCAGGTCTTTGGCAACATAGCAGATGACTTAATGCAGGGAGAGTTTTACTGATTATTGAAAAACATTTCTCTCTGCCCAAACAAGGACCTTCTGGGTTTAACCTATGTAATTCAGAAATATCAGATAAAATAGCAATTTCATTGTAAGTATATATTTTTACTGGATTTATTTAACCTTGCAGCTGTGGTCAAAACCTTCCCTTTCAAGCAGCACCTTACAGAGCACTCACATTTGCCCTAATCAAAGAAATGGAAGTTGGGACAAGTGCAGGTTTGCTGTCCGTTAATGTGGATAGGAAATGTGTATTGCAAAAATCTCTCTCAATACAAGTACCAGTAACTCAATTTGGAATAACTTGTGGTTAGTGGGATTTGCTTTTAAGCAACTAAGTTCAAATATGTAATACAGCAATAGTGGGAAATGGTTTAGATTAAGCAAATAATGTAAAAATCATTTCTGGTTTTATTTTTATTAAATTTTCTTGTTGTCACAAGCTCAGAGCTTGATGCTGCAAATGGCTGAGAAGCTCCTGGGAATTGCTAAATACTTTGCAGCACCATGTGTAGGAGGAGGCTGAGAAGATTTTAAAGCACTTTGTGGAAAATATGTTTATATCTGAGTTGCAGATGAAAAACTGTGCAGGACAAACTGTATCAGAATTACCATACTGGCCAGTGAAAACCTTTTTTAGAACACCAGTGTGAATATGTAGCCTCAGACAGGGGCTCATTGCCCAGTACCCCATCTTATTTTTACAGCTGCAAGCTATTTGCAGTTCAGGGGGGTTGTTGAGCCCTGTGTGGTTTGTAGTCAGCACTAGTGACTGTTCTTCTAAATACCTCTCCATTCTCTTTCATGTATGGAAACCCAACAACCTTTGGCAAAGACCTTCCTAGCCATGTAAGAAACAATCCTGTTTTGTTTTGGAGCAGATTTCTGCTTTGCTCCTTTTGATGGTCCTCAAAGAGGCTGCAGAGAGCTGATCCCTCACCTACTCCCTCCAGAACTCCTGGCAGACTGAAGAGAGTTCCTCAATATTTTCCCCCCTGGCCAGTGGCTGCTCAGTCATTCTTTGTCTGAAAGCTGTCCACACCTTCAGCCATCCTTGCTGCTTTTGAAATTTTCCCAGTTTTTAACTGTGCTGCTTGAGAGCAGGGTAGCAGAGCCATGCTGACTCCTGCAGCTGTGTGCAGCCCGTGCATTTGGACAGTAATAAACAGATTTCCAATGTTTCAGTCCCCATTGTAACAATTCCCAGCATAAAGGACCCCAGATCTATGTACATTATCTCCAAGCACAACCTCTCAGGAAGTTCTGTTGCTTTGGATTAATTATGAACATTAGCAGTTTTTAACCCTGTGTTTCAGGTCAGTGGGGGAAAAAAAATAAAACAGAGATTGACTGCAATAAGAGGATTTAAAAATCTGTTGTCAAAAAGCAAGACTGAGCCAGCAAGGAAGATAACAAGAAAAATAGCAAGCACACAGGCTTATTTTTGTCTTAGCCCTAAAAATCTCTTATTTTAAGTGGAGTCTTGCATACTGGTGAACATAAACTATGTTCTGATCAAATTTACTGAGAATTTGACCTAGAATAAGTCACTGTAAACATGTAGGATTTCTGTGTGGATGTGTGGACTTCCTCCATACACATAGCTCAGTAGGTCTTGGCTGCACAAGATTGTTTCAATTTTTAATGAAAGATGCCTGGAGATAAAATATTTAATACCTCTTTCTTTAAAGTCCAACTCCTCTTACTACCACTACAAAAATTGCAAAGGGCAGTGATACTGCTTGTTGCTCCAACAAGTGTTTTAGAGCAAAAGATCTTGCTGTTCCTTTGTGTTTTAGAGTAAAGGATGAAAAGAAAGGCTTTATTTTTAAAGTTGGAAATAGTTTGCAAAGATCACTAACTCTGAACTGAATCTTGCAGTCCTGACTTACTAAGATCAGTGAGAATTTCACAATTGAAACTTCTATTTATATAGGAAGATGTTTTTCAAGTGAGAGCTAGGACTTGACTATTGACTATTTTTGACTTGACTATTTTTATTTTCTTTTTTCTCCAGAGAAAAAGAATTTAAAATTCAAAAGACCCTCTCCACAAAGAGTGAGTGGTATAGAGAGATTCTGTAAGCTCTCTGAAAGGGAAATTAATTGTTCTACTGTCTGCCTAGGGGTTACAATTAGAGCCATCCCCTTCTTTTGACTAATTTTAAGTGTTCCTGATTGTTTCTGGGAGAAATCTTTAAAGAACTCTATTCCTTACAGTGCACATTTTCCCTTCTGGGAGCTGGAAGGGTTTCTGCTCTATCAGTGGGAAGCTGCTGTTCAGGAGAAGGAACTTTAAGCACGAGTTGGCTCCAGTGGAAGCTGATAGGAGCTGGTGATCCATGTGCATTACAGTGCTGGCTGATCAATAATAATTCAGGGATAGAGTGGCGTGGCATCCACTGAGAAGTATTTCAGGGTTTGTGCTGCTTTTCCGTGGGGACTGTAGTGCAATCTTCACTTATAAAGACATGTGATCTGAAAGCCTGAGGCAGAACAATCCTTGTTTTCACAGGAGAAGCTTTTCTTGGCTGCAAAAGCTTTTACATCCTCATCTTCCTTTCTAAAAGCCGCGTCTTCTCCACAAAATTATATATTAAAAAAAAAAAAAAAAAAAGACGAGCTTAGGATGGCAACAACATCGCAGCCTCTGCAAGGTAAAACAACATGTAAAAAAATATTTTGGGCAGTGTTTCCTCATGCCTGCTTCATTGTGTCTCTTGTCATCTATGCTTTTCTTGGGGCTCTCATGTTTTCCCACATTGAAAGTACCCGGAAGGTCACAGTAAGTGAAGAATACAGAGCATTTCTGCGGGATCTGATGTGCCTCGCCAGAAAGTTACCAGGTATGTACTGGAATTTCAAAATGACTTACCTGCACAGGGAGCTATTAATTACTCTGCTTTTCGAATGAGTTTTTTTGCTTTTTAAAACATTCTTCAAAATACCAGCAGCTGATCCTGCAAACAGGATTTTCACTCTGCCTAGCTAATGACTGCTGGTTTCTTCTTTAGCTGTGATTTTTGATTGCAAGCTTCCCAGTCCTTGTGTCTCTGCCTGGACAGATTTTCCTGAGATGCCTGTGTTCTCCCTTTTTGCCAGGTTCTTAACGAGCAGCTGACATTCCTGTGGTATTTCCTGCAGTTTGCTGGGGCTGAATCCTCTCTCTCAGAAAGTTTTTCCAGCTGCCTCTTCCCTGCTCTGAGCTTCCCTGCCAGCCCTCTGATGATGGGATGCTCAGAGGGAGACAGGTGCAGTTCTGCACCCCAGACCCAGTGATTGGAGGGAGTAGAGGAGAAAAGAAGGGTCAGAAATCCTCCTGGATTTGTGATGGGGCTTGTACATAGGCTTGGAGTTTCACTCTGGTAGCTGTGCTGTCACAATGATCAATTCTGGGCAATTAAATAATGTAAATAATGTCCTTTCCAGCAAAGCCCAGGCACAGGGAGGAGGATGAAGGGTTGCAGGATTCACAGCAGGGCACTGGGCAGTGACATCCAAGTGGTTCATATTGGTTCCCTGCTGTTGAGCCCACATTTCTTGGTGTCTCTGGGTCAAAAGTAGACTAATCTCCTGGGAAGTCCAAAATGAAACAGGACATTCAGGCTGGAAGCTGCTTATTCAGTCATCTTGTCCTGTTTCTTTATATTTATAGTTTTTTTCCCTGTACTTTTATTCACCAAAGCCACTGAACCCACCTGATTTTTTCAGAGGTGGGGGTGAGAAGCTTGAAAGGGGAGGGTGAGAAGGTGAATATTTTTATCTTTTAAGAGAATATGAGCAAATCCTCAGCTGCAGTGTATTTCACTGGGGTAGCAGGCAGGCTGCTCCCTGAGTGGTGGTCTGCAAACACTCACTGTGCCTCCTGCTGTGACTGTGACAGATAACTGGACAGATAACCTGACAGAAAATGAGACGTTTAACCGCGACATCCATCAGCTTTTGAACACAGCTGACCCAGTCTGGTTTATCAACCCAAAAGAAAGATGGAATTTCTTTGGGTCTCTCTTTTTTTGCTGCACAGTATTCACAACTGTGGGTAAGTACAGAGGTAAAGTAACACCCTTCAGAATAAATTCCTGTTGCTGCTTTCTCCAATGAATTTCTTCCAGAGAATTAAAACCACCCTAAACAAGCAAACAAACAAGCAAACAAACAAACCCACCCCTACTAAACCCAAAGCCCAAATCTCTTTGAATTTTTCCCCTGAATATTGCTGATGAGTCTGCAAGTGGCTCTGCAAACACAGACTGCAGAGACATAGCTGAGTCACAGAAACAAGTCACAATTTAGTAATTAGTGGTGGTACACACTAATTAACTGCATCATTACACATATACTATAATATGTATTCATATATGATGTTGACAGAGCTATTGAACTAAAAAGAAATCTCCATTTTTCAGTCTCAAACCTTATCCTTCTCACTGTTGTGTGTCCTCTTGGGTAATGTTTTCTTCTCTGGAAAAGGTAATTCATAATACATATATTGTTTTTCAATTGCTTCTCAGTTACTTATGTCTAATTCAGCTTTGTTAATCTGTGGTTCTGTAATTAACCACTGTGTTCACATTTCTCTGGGTTAACAGCACATGATAGTGTTTAAGTCACACCTTTGAAATCTTTCAGTCTGACTTCATATTTCAAAGGAGGACCTAAATCAAATAGAAACATCTGCTCTGATTTTGGCTCCCTCTGCATTGCTAAATACAACTCCTCATGCTCATTCCCAAAGCTACTTTTATCCCTTTGTTAATCTTTCTCAAATGCTGGCAAGTACAGGCACTGTCTATCCAAATCTGTCATAATCAAAGCTGGGTGGGAAATATTCCCACAGCATTGTATCAATTTGCAAAGACATTTCTCCGCTGCAGGAGGATGTGCTCAAGATCCCAGCATGGGGATGCATCCTACTGTAAAAGAAAAACTGAACCTTAAAAAGAGCTTTCTTCTACAGTCCTTGTGTGCTGTGTCACAGCTCAAACCTCACACTCTCATCTCTTGGGTGACTGTTCAAATTCAGCTTCTTGCAGTTAAAGACAGAAGTCTGGGTGGCCAGAGACGCACTGGGGATGAGACCGAAATCCTCAGCCCTGTGAATATTTCCTGGAACAAACACAGCAGCCAAGAACTTTTGAAAGGGGATGTTTTATCAGAAAGCTTTGACTTTAGCAAGCTGATGAGAAGGCATATTGTGGGAAATGTCTTCCATGGGCGTATTTACCCACCTCCATTAACATGGGACTTGACAAATGTCCCCATACACACCGACCCAACAAATTTATTTCTAAGCTGCCAGTACTTTTTGCTTTCAGAGCACTGAGTATTAATGCATCTTCCTCAATTTTGATCTGAATTTTGATATCAGTAGAAAGCCTGGAATATTTGCTGCTAATAGATGGAATAGGTGGCTGTTTCCATTGCAGTGGGTTTGTTATTTGCAGAATCAGGAACTGATAAATCACCTTGGGATAGAATCAAATTATCTACCTTGAATTTTCTGGGAGAATTGGGTCATCTAGTCTGAAGTTTGATGGACTGAACTGCATCTCTTTGCTGCCTGGGGAGGCTGCCTAGTGGCTCAGCTGGGAAAGATTTCTGGATAGCTAAATTTAGGCTCAGGATAACTTTTAAGCCTGGAAACTGCACTAGGTATTTTTAATGCACAGAAATCAATTTTAAAAAGAGTAAATAAGATCACTCTATGCAATAACGACAGTAATCTTTCCCAAGTGCTTTGAGAGTTTCCCAGTTTGCCTGTGGGGAAGAGAGTGACCAAGAATAAATTATATTTCAGTGCCTCACAGCAAAACAGGGACTGAGGCTGGGTTCAGACCAAAAGCTGAGGCAGCCACAAGTGAAAACATGCATGGATGAAGAAAATGAGGGAAACCATATCTCAGCATATGAGCTGATAATCTGAGAGGTTAAGTACTTGGCCTAGAAGTTCCTCTAGGAAAAAATGGTCTTTGAAAGGAGAGAAGGAATACTCAATGTCTTCTGAAGGATGAAGAGAAAAATGGTTGATAAAATTTAATACAGTTCCTATAATACCAAATTTTCTCCCACCATAATGGAAAAGCACTGATTTACAGCTTGAGTTTCATATCCGATATGTTAGAGGAAGGAAATATAAATACCCAAATTGGATTTAGGGAAAAGGCATATCTTCTGCTACCAATTTTATGTATCACATCTCTCTCTTTCTCTTCTCATCCCCTTCTTATTCTTGTTCAAGGTTATGGTAATACCTATCCTGTGACACCGAAAGGGAAGTGTCTCTGTATGTTGTATGCTTTATTTGGGATCCCCCTGATGTTCTTGGTCCTGACAGACATGGGAGACATCCTTGCAACTGTCTTATCCAAGTCCTACAACGAGTTCAGGAAACTGCAGTCAAAAATTCTTGCCTCTAAACTCTGTTCTGGATCCCCATGCAGCAAAAGGAATGAACTGAAATCCAGGGAACAGTCTAAAATAGTCATCAACGAGCCCCTGACCATTATGGAAGTGCTGAGAAGTCAGTCAGGTGTGAAACAGGTCAAATATCGCAACGTGGAACTTTTTGAAATGTTAATTGCCAGGGAGAATGAAAACACCCAACCAGCAAGAAATAAAAGCATGGAGAGATGGAGTTCATGTCCTGAACTAGCCAGGGAAAAGACTGTGTCCAGAGTAATCAAGAATTTTGACAACATAGGAAAAGAGTTAGAAAAATTAGATGTGCCCATTGTGTTGATGGTGCTCGTTATCTTTGTGTACATCTCCTGTGCTGCTGCTATTCTTCCAAAATGGGAAAAAAAAATGGATTTTCAGGAAGCCTTTTATTTCTGCTTTATCACTTTGACCACTATTGGATTTGGAGATACAAAGTTAGAACATCCCAAGTTTTTCTTGTTTTTTTCCCTCTACATTATAATTGGCATGGAAATTGTCTTCATTGCTTTTAAGCTGGGCCAAGACCGCTTGATTGTCCTGTATAAAAAGGTGATTTCATTTTGTGCAGAGAAAAATATGCCATCAAAGAAAATATATCCAAAATAAGAGCAGTCATTTCTCCTTCACTTGTCAGCACTGGCCCCTGCAACGAGATGGAATTGTTTCTGTGCATTTCTGCCTTGGGCTGACAGGTGCCGTGTTTTAATCTGATTTCCTCTGAGAAATGACTGTGAAATGGCTGAACACTTCTGGAGGCACCTGGTGAAGGCATCTCCAGGGAAGACTTTGCAAAGGGGTCTCTTCTCCTGAATAATTACAATGCTGCCTGATGAAGAAGGTGAAGGCTCTCCTTGACAGTTCTCCCTGACATATTGTGCAAAGCTCTGACTTTCTGCAGCCTTTCTGTCCCTTCTCCCTCTGCAAGCAAATTCAGGAATTTTGTTTTCTGTACTTGTCCAAGCAAGACCCAGATCTCCTGTAAGGTCCTGTCCTGCCACCTTCTCTGCAGCCAGCTTGGCTGTGTCTGTCTGTCCTGACTGTGACACCCTGCTCGTCATCAGAGTGAGCTGGGGAGGAGAGGTGTGGACCCAGCTGCAGAGTGTGGCAAATATCACACCTGGCACAGATCAGGGAAGTGTCCCATGGAAAGGAAGGACAGAACATTTCCCCATCTCTGCCACCTGTCCAGAAACCAGTCAGAGAATTTCTCATCTGTTCAGGGCTGGAAGCACTCCTGCTCCATCACGGCTCAGGGTGTCTGTGCTCCAGTCAATGTGTGTCCCACAGGGCCCAGCTCCCGAGGTGCTCAGGGCAGGTTTTCTCCCTGGTGGTGTCTGGGGAAGGCACAGCAATCCTGGGGTGGCTGCAGCCCTGGAGTGGTGCTCCATGTCACTGCTGTCACAGGAGCCTGTGCTGAACACCAACCCCAGAGAGCCCCACTCCTCACCCCCATTTCACTCTGCTCCATCTCTGGGAGCTCCCTGACCCACCTGTCTCACCAGGATGTGGGGAGGATCCTCTAATTATAGAATTTTGGAGCACATTAAGATGAGAATATCATTGTTTCTTCAAGATGTTGCTTATATTATTAATAATTTAAATTGTCAGTAATAGCTTCTCATTAAATCAAATAATTTAGAATAAAATATATAATTCATATAAAAGAAATCGCTAACTTTAATTAACCATGTTTAACTTATGATGACATGCTTGCCCACTAAGTGTGAACATCTCTAGATAATAAAAAATGCTTGATTATTTACAGAATGTACAATATTCTCCATTAGCAAATTTACCAGTTGAAGCTGAGATTTTCAGAATATTTACATACCATCTTATGTCTGTTGCACTCCATGTATGTGGCAATATGTATTCAATCCTTATTTATAATTAGATGCAATTAAGCATTGATGATATGCAAGATATATAATGACTGATAGTAAATAGAGAAGTGTTTTATAAGAATAAAAATAAAAAATGCAGAACCTGGAAGAAACTTCAGTTAACTCTGTCATGTTTGCTGTGATTTTGGCCTTACATAGAAAGTCCCTCCTTTCATATCAGTATTCCCATATTACTTAATTTTGTGTCTTCAGATTAAAATCATTGTAGAGCTTTGGTACAGTGTCAGAGTTCTCAGAAATCAATGAAAAGATTTGCATGGATCAGATAACTGCACTTCCTGCCCCTCAAGGTTTTCCTTGTGATATTCTAAACCTGTCAACATTTTAAATAACTGGTCTGTATGTAATTTAATTTGTTTCTGTTACATCAGTGGGATCTCATTTATGGAGAGCAGTTAATCCTGAATTTATACCCTGTATATTTCTCATTGGCACAGTACCTTAATACCTTCCCATTTACTTTATGGATTTAGGGAATTTTGGCTGGATTTACAATAGAGATTCTGCACCAAATCATTCTAGTTATGGTCAAGGGATGGCAGTAAACAGCTTTCTTTCCTATACAACCTGTCAGTTAAGGGGAATAAAAATTGATTTATTAGGAGAGGAAACAAATCACATAACCATTACCCTCTATAAACCAATAATGCACCTGACTATTGAATATTGTGCACAACTCTGGTGCTTCACCTCCCAAAGGATATGTAAATTTGGAAAAAATTTATAGGTTAAGGGTAAAGGATGAACAAAGATAGGAAACAACTTCCATACAAGACATGTACAGGAGCTCTCTAGTCTGGAAAGAGGTGAGAGACTGATGGAGAGATGTGTAACATTACAAGGGCTCAGAAAAGGGGAACAAGGAATGATGGAATGATTTTCAAACATCTCTCATTATGAGAGCTGGGGCTGACAAATGAATCCCACGTGTGACAGGCTTAAGAAAAGAAACACAAAGAAGATAAAATGGTGCTTCACACAAGATACAGTTAAGCCATAGCTATTCCTTGTCATGGGAGGATGTGGCAATTAAAAGTTCCCATTAGATCAATGAGAGATGGGACAAAACCATGAAAGAAAAACAATAAAAACAATTAAATCCAAAGATAACAATTCTGGCTTGATGATCACTGAGTTCTAAATTGGGAGATTAGGAGAACCCTCTCTACAGATTTTGCTGTTCTTGTTTTCTTCCTTTGCAACCTGCTATGCCTCAGAGACAGGAAGTATTCTGTCCATCCTGTTCTGGCCTGATTTCCATGCCTGTAATGCATAGAAACACATTGCTACAGAGCTAAAAAGCCACTCAGCAAATGCCTGAATAGATATTTAGTTTCATATTTGTGTGCCAGGTAGGCAAACCAGTCCAGTCTGATTGTGCAAAACAAATCACCAAAACCTGTGATTTAGGCAACACCACACAACCAGTCTGCAGTAAAAGTAATGTGGTCATTTGGCTTGTGTCATGAACCTAAAGGAGGATGCAGAGTTGGACGCACATTGCATTGTCAGGTATAAAAATGTATTTATGTCTTCTGTTCAGGTGCACTGAAACAGTGATCCCACACAAACAGGAATATCCAGTTGGGAACCAGTTTCCAGATGGCAGAGCAGCAGCTTTGGGCTGACAGTGACACTGCAGAGCAGGATCTGAATGTAAATACAGTAAATATAGTCACAGCTATTGAAAATGAAACAAAGTAGTGATTAATGGCTCATTTAGTGCATAAATATTTGTGATTTGACTGTTCTTATCATGGACTAAGTCCTGGAAGAATTTACAGTCTCTGCCCACAGAAGCTTTTATTCAACAAAATTGACGTGGAGATCAGCTTTGTTTGCTTCAAAGCAGTACAAAATATTGCTTTTCATAAATTTTCCCCATCAGGATCTGCATGAGATGGCGGATTAGATGTGAGGGGCTTCATTGAAGAACTCTTCTATCAGGAAAGACGTGACTGATGGGGAAGGAGCTGCTTGATGTGTAACCCACAGCGGATATGAGTTATTACAGCCCCAGCTGGAGAGCTTTACAGATCAAATGCACTTGATGCTGAAGGATGCTGGATCAATCACCCTTGATTGGGCCAAGATGGCAGCTGTCACGAGCACTTAGGAGCAGAGGGCAGGGTATCCCTGCTCTGGGAATCACAGGGAAACAACCATGGGAATGAGTGGAAGGAGTGGAAAATAATCTTTGCGCAGGAGGGTTGGGAAATGACAGCAGCAGTGGAGGAAAAAGCCTCCACTGTGTAGACATAAATATGGTGAAGAGATGCTTGAGACTGAAAATACAGTGGGGGCTGGTTGCTGTGGCTTGGGAAGGTTTGTGCAGCCAGCTTAGTTGGAGAGCCCTTCTTAAACCAGCACAGTGGTCATGGGTGATGGGCTCCAGCACAGGTCTCACCACCAGCAGCCACAGCAGGGCAGAAAGTCTGTGCAAGGAATCCCCCTGAGAGATAAAACAGTGTCAGAAAGAAGATACAGGGTCTGGATTGAAAAGCCATTAATGAAACCATCAGAAACACTCCTCTCACCCTCTGCTTTGTCATTCAAAGGATGACATTTTGTTCACAAGCATCTTTTGCACGAGCAGTAATTCTGAGGACTCAGGAAATTCTTAATGGGATGTAGGACTTGTCATCTGTGTGCCAGTAATTCAGATGTAGTCCAGATTTTAGTGGGCTCCATTTTGATAACATCTGATAACACTTTGATGGCTTTTATGCTTTTTCAACTTGTTCCAGGTGGTGATGCACCCACATCACAAAAACACTGCCATATAATGAATGCTAATTGCATGTGTGGTGGCAGGCCCAGCACAGGCCAAGGCTGGGACTCCAGCTGGGAGCAGTCCCTGCAGTCCCCTTTGCTTCCAGGTTCCCAGCATACCTTGTGATCTGAATTTCCAGACCACAGGGAGCATCAAATGGAGCATGTGTGGCTGTTGCATGCAATCTGAGTGTTTTGTGAACCTAGAGGGATGGGTCTTATCATTTAACCTGCCTCTCTTAAATGAAACACTCTTTGAAAATTCATTATTCTTATATATAAGTAACAACAATATTTAGTTGTTGTTGTTATTATTACTATTATTAAGCAACTCCACAGGCTGCATTCAGCATATTCTGCCAGGACATGCTATATTCTAAGTCCAACTTTAGGTATTTAGCTGGGCTATATTTCCATTTCTTCCTCACCTTATGCACCACTTATAAGTAGAAAAAATATTTTTCAAGCCGTCTGACATGGCAGCCTGCATTTACATACAGAGCAAGGGAGATGAAGTTGCTCAGGATAAATTTCAATTGTTTCTTAAAGTACACAGGCACAGATAGCAGTAGAAATACGAGGAATTTTCTCCATCACTCATATAGCAAATCATAGCTATGTGAAGACAGCAGATCTCTCATATATGAAGCCAATATTTTTAGGATAGCAGTCTGAGGTCAAATGCAAACCTTCATGAGCAATGGAGTCCATGAATGCATTGCTTGTACGTGCCAATAGCTGATTGTCTGCACGTGGTTTTCATTAGAGAGTTTTAGGAAGTGCTTGAACAAATGTTACTTGGCTTGTGTGCTTATGGGTTTGCATGTAAATCTGAGCTTTTTTATTCTCTTTTTTTTTTTCTTTGAGTTAAAAAATCAGTCTCTGAGTAGTTAAAATGTAGTTCTTTTGAGATTAGTTCAGGCTTTTTCA